TTTTTTTTTTTTTTTTTTTTAATTTCTACATAGTTCCCAGTCTCACATCTCTTCCCTAGAAAAAAACAAAAATGAATTCAACTTTTTAATAGTCTTCTAATACTTTGAAACAAAGTAATCATTCAAAACAAGAATGTTCACTGAAAGTGTTTAAGAATTTAATTGTGCCTTTGTTACCTAAGGAGAAACCAAAGAGTTGGCCAGGGAGGGACATGGGGGATGTGTTCTACTTTTTGACCTTGTTAGTAGTTACACTGTTCATGATTATTTGTTAAATGTATATGTATGTTTCATTCACTGTTCTATGTATATGTTTTACCAAAAAAAGATAAAATATTTTTAAACAGCTTCCTTAAGTAAATTAAATAAAGCTCTCATTTAAATTTATTTATTCTAACTGTCCTTTTTTAAAAAGAGGTTAAGGGACAGAGATGGAACAAAAGCAAAAATGAATGGAATATTTGAGTTACTCTCATTTACACCTTTCAAGAAAAGCTTCAATGATGCTAAACAGATTTAAAACATATTCTCAAAAATAAAACCACTTTTCAAGTAAAATATTAAAAACCAATATGGCTATTTTTGAGAGAGAGAGAGAGAGAGAGAGAGAGAGAATGAATGAATATGGGAAAAGAGAGAATCTTAAGCAGGCTCCATGCCCATCATGGAGCCCTGATGGAGGGCTCGATCTCATGGTCCTAAGATCATGACCTGAGCTGAAATCAAGAGTTGGATGCTTAACCTCCTGAACCAATAGTTACTTTAATAGCACCAATTCCCTCTTTCTCTAAAGATTCCTATATATAAAATGGAAAGGCACAAATTCATCTCCTTTTTACTTGGTTTATATTTTCCAGGATTTTCAAGTGTCTGAAGAAATGGCACTGTGATGATGTCCTTTGATTCTGGACCTACAGAACTTTCTTTCTATTCTTTTCCAAATACTGTGTCAACTGTGCCTTTATTTGTACGGCATCACCTCCTCTACTAAGTACAACCTAGGGCTCTAATAGCTCCTCCTCTTTACTGCAGTCAGAAGCTATGCTTTCGAACAGTTAATACTGTACTCCTGTTCAATCTGCTGAGAGCACAGTCTTGGAATAATGATTCTACTGCTTAATGTAGGTTCACAAGCCCCCCAAACAGACTGCCATTAAGACCACTTCTCTCTCTGGGGCTGGCAGTTTCTGACTGTTCCACTTGCGAGGGAGCAGTTATTTCTGGCAGTATAGTATGTCTTTAGGTCAGCATGATTTCTCCAATTACAAGTTTATCACTGCCTTATAGATAAACAAATAGCATCTTTGTTCCTATCTCTTAGATAAGAAATAGAAACTGTCTGAGGGGACATTACCCTGTGAATTTGGCCTCGGTCATCTTCATGAGTACATGCTCCTTTCAGAGCTATCTGTCCGTCTTCATAAAAACCCATCACAACTACATATGCTCCTTTTCTAATCTGAAAACCACAGGAGAATGATTCTTTTACTTGTCAGTTCTTTCAAAGTCCTTCTTCAGGTAAAATTCTTATTTTAGTTATGAATAACCCAATACTGGTCTATTACAGCTGCAACAACTCTCAAAAGAGCCGTACAAAAGAAAAATGTGGCTTCTACCTCCAGAAGACATTAAAGACTTTTTTCTTTCTTATTAAGGCACCCAGAACGCATAATATTACACCAGGCCAAAAGGACCAATTCCCTTCATGGAGGAGAAGAGCAGTTGGCTGTTACTTATTAAATTCTCAGAGCAACGTGCGATGGCTTGCTTTCTCCTTTTGTTTCTCTTTGAATAGTAGATGAAGCTGATTTTTTTCCAAGGCTGCTTCTCACCACCCGCATTCCTGATCCTTGACCTAAGCAGCTGTTAATATGCTACACACATATGCTTGGGCTCCTGAACCACCAATGCAGTTAATCTTTCGGTTTTCTCCACGTCAGTTCCTATCTTGTTAGTGAAATTGAAGTTTTTTTTCTTTCTAAATGTAATCATTTTATCTGATACAAAAACTACATATACAATTCACTGGTTTTTTGGAATCTTTTTTGTCCCCAAAGGTGTCGGGGCCCATGGGTTCTTATGTTCTAATTGAGAAAGGCATGTTCATTCATGGAAATTCCAAAAGGTGGGCTACCATAGATACTTCTGCGTTTAGGGGTGGGTAATCATTGGAGGCCACATATTACCTTTATTCTCAAAGAAAAGTGAATTCCTTTGATTGAATATAGGTGAAAGATTATATTTTCTGCAGCTAATGATTAGAAAGTAAAATATTAGTGTATCAAAAGACACTTTGTTCTAACTATCTGTGTTCAAAGGAACTTCTCCATACTCGTAACCCGCCCCCACCATTTTATATTATAATTGCCTATTAACAGTCTGTACCCCTCAAAGACAGGAAGCTCCTGGAAGACAGGGATTGTATCATAATCACTGTTTTATCTGCAGGGCACATGGTCTGGCAGATGGTATACAGCCAATAAGTATTTCTGCTGGTGTTGGTGTTACATTCAATTCAACGTCTAATTCTTAATTAGCCACAGTTTTAGACTAACTGGCATACACCACTGCCCCAACATTTATGAAACAACTTCTAATCAGACATTATTACAGTTCAAACAGATACGCCAAACTGCAAAAACCTAATGATATCTACCCTAAACACTGAGCTTCTTTATGAGAGGCAGCAGAGACGATGCTAACTTGTGATTTGAATCTTTTTGCTCTCATTTCAGACTCAGCTACTAACGATCGGTAACCTTTGGCCTGCCACTTTAATTATGTTGGATCTTGTGCCCTTAGAAATTAAAGTGGGAAACTGGATTAAGTAGTCTCTAAGTCCCTAGCTGAGCCCAGCTTTGAGACTGTGATGAGGCACCAACCAGTTAGGGTACTACTAACATAGCAAGCCCTTGTTAACACTAGAGGGAGCTGCACCCATGCCATCACTGGGGTGGATAGGAAGATTTCAAGGCAAAGCATCTTTAAATTGGAAGATGGACTTTTTAGAATGAGAGGAATTAAGTATTAGGTGAGACACCCATACTGTTCATACAGCCACTGCACAGGCTTTCTTCCATGACCTCCCTCTTGCTGATGTCAAAGTGCCTCACACTTGACTTTGATCAGCATACCTTCTGAGCTCTAATTTGGATTCCAAAAGAACCAAGACAGCTTGAGTCATTCCTACAGATTTCTTTCCCCATTCAGTCTACTATTCTTTCTTAATCAAACTAACAACAATGACAAAAAAAGCAAAATAACTAATGCTATTATTGGAAAAGGCCCAGAAAATGAGATAGAGGAAGAAAAAGATTCATATCACACTGAAGATGTGGCCTGGGAAAATCAGTAAATGGCTGCGGAATTCATTAGCAGCTTGCCACTCAAACCAAAGCTACCATAGCTACTTTGAAAACAAGAAAAGTACTCAGAAAGAAGAAAGATATCAAGGAAAGAAGGAATCGACACAGCTCTATAAACTGTAGAAGCCTGAATGCCTGCCTACGAGTGGATGCGGTCATTGCCTTGTTGGGTTCTGTGGTATGAAGTCTGCAGGTGCTGAAGTGAGGCCATGAATTAGAGGTAACTGGATCACATTAGGCATCTGGCAAGAAAAGTGCCAAGTGACCAGATATGGCAATGGAGGATGAGGTGGGGAAGGAAAAAGAAAGAGCATTTTTAAAGCTAAAGTTTATTCTGAAGTTATATACACAGACTCTCTTCCCAACTCTAAAAACCATCCAATGGCTTTGAAAATGTATGACCTAAACCCCTTACAGAACAAGTGAAATGAAGAATTAAAAACCTCTCCATTGTATCAATTTTGTTTGTGTTTGCCCAGAGGCACAATGACATGTTAACCTGATAGAGAGGGTATAAATCATGGATATTACAGAATGTGGTCTGTAGGAGAAAGATAAATGCAATCCTGAAGAACCCTTTTTATGGGAATTTCATAGATAACTTTAACACTCAGGAAAGCAAAACCTCAACAGTCAGAGACAGACTGCCTACTTTTCAGACAGAGGCTATTCCTGAGTAAAAACAAATTACAAAACAACTTTAGAGAGCAGTCAGTGAAAAGTCTATTAGAACAAAACAATTCTTTTTCACTTAAAAAATGCAAACTCAGACCTCCAGAGGTAAAATACAAAGTAAAACTCACCACATTAAAATCAACTTATTGCTATGGGTCCAAGTAGTTTAGATACTTGTTTCTTAAATCATCAATTTCAAGTACTCTAATAAGAGACATCACAGCCTCGACAGATTCAAAAAGATTTCCCTTTTCCTTTAGGACATTAGTTTTTTTTTGTTTTTTTTTTTTTTAGCCAGCCTTTCAATCAATGATCCTTATGGGAAGCATGAGAAAAATGTACTTTACTGTTAAAAGGAGAACAACTTGTTTTCCTCTCTTATTTTAGGATACATGCCAAAGAATTTCCAATTCACCTGCTATGTACTGACCTTTAAAATGTTTCGGCCATCAAATGATTCTCTTTCCTTGAAGATGTATTTGCCATCCGCTGTGTAGAGATTGTACCTGCCTTCAGCTGTAAATATTTCAAAGACAATATTAGAAAAGAAGCTTGGGTTATATACGTTTGTTTTCTTTTGGGTTTCTACAGGTATAGCTAGCAAAATGTATTACCTGGAAAGTGGTACAGTGGGAGGGAAAAGCAGCAGGCTGAGTCAAGAGGCCCGGGGTCCAGTCTCAGCTCTGTTATCAACTCCATACACATTTATTCATTCAACACTGTCCAAGCACTTGAGGTGGGTTATGTATGTCATTAGCCATAGTCTTTTTTTTTTTTTAATTGAACTATAGTTGACATCAGTGTTGTATTCGCTTCAGGTGTACAACACAGTGACTCAACAATTCTATACATTACTCAGCGTTCACCGTGGTAAGTCTAGTCACCATGTGCCATACGCCATCTGTCATACAACATTATTACAATATTATTGACTATATTCCTTCCCCATGTTGTACTTTTCATCTCTGTAAATTATTTTTTTAATATTTATTTATTTTTGAGAGAGAGAGAGAGACAGCACAAGAAGGAGAGGGGCAGAGAGAGACGGAGACACAGACAAGTATCCAAAACAGGCTCCAGGCTCTGAGCTGTCAGCACAGAGCCTGATGTGGGGCTCAAACCCACAAACCGTGAGATCATGACCTGAGCCGAAGTTGAACGCTTAACAGACTGAGCCACCCAGGTGCCCCTATTTTATAACCAGAAATTTGTACCTCTTAATCCTCTTCACCTATTTTGCCCACCCCACCTCTCATCAAGCCCTCTGGCAACCACTGGTTTGTTCTCTATAGTTATTAGTCAGCTTCTGTTTTTTGTTTGTTTTTTAGATTCCACATATAAGTAAAATCATTGTGGCATTTGTCTTTCTCTGTCTGATTTATTTCACTTTGCATAATACCCTCTAGGTCCATGTATGTTGTCACAAATGGCAAGAATTCATTCTTTTTTATGGCTGAGTCATATTCTGTTGTATATGTATATACAAGTAGACACCCCCCCCCCCCACATCTTCTTTATCCATTCTAAAAAAAAAGATAAGAAATAACAAGTGTTGGCAAGGACATGAGGAAAAGGGAACCCTCATGCACTGTTGGTGGGAATGTAAACTTGGAGCAAAAGGATGAAGGTTCCTTAAAAAATTAAAAATAGAAGTACCAAACAATCCAGTAATTCCACTTTTGGGTATTTACCCAAAGAAAACGAAAACACTAATTCAAAGATATATACACCCCATGTTTATTGCAACATTATTTACAATAGCCAAGATATGGAAGCAGTTAAAATGTCCATCAATAGATGAATGGATAAAAAAGATGTGGGGTGTGTGTGTGTGTGTGCTTGTGTGTATAAAATGAACCATATTCTTAAGCAAATTATGTCTCTTCTATGGACCTCAGTTCATTTACACAGTTACAGGTTAAGATTAGGTATCTCCAAAGGTTCCTTGAAGTCTAAAAGCCCAAGATTTTGTGTAAGCTGCATGCCTTTTAAAATATGTAAAAAAAACAAACAAACAAACAAACAAAAAAACCATACCAAAACGCACACATTAAGTAATCAAAAGTGCTGGCAAGGCTGATTTGGGTTGCAACCAACATGATGTGGGTTGATTTAAGGAAACCCCACCCCTGCAAATGAGAAAGCCCCCTTCAGTTCAAAGGTATCTTTACAGACATTCTACACAGAAATGCAGCAAATCTATGACCTTAGCCTCATCAAAGCTATGCTCTAACTCCTTGTGTTAATTTAGCATGCTTATTCTGAAGGACATCCTTGAAATATGGCAGGAAGAAGATTTCAAAAGGAAAGGGATGACAGGTAAGAAAGAGTGAAACACCTGATTCCTATCCCCTTTTCAAGTAAAAATTCATTATACAGAAGAATCTAAGGTATAGAAAATTCAAAGCATCCTTCAGAATTATTTAACCCTCAGAATATTTTCTAAGATATTTACCCTTTCCTGCCTACCAACAGACACTCAAAAGTATTTGTATTGCCACTTTTGAATATGCTCTTTTATTGTATACAGCTATGGAAACTACCAAGTCAGAATTGGTAAAATATGTCCAGAGCGCTAACTCCACGTGCATAATATAAGTTAGCTAGCCCACTGGAATTACACACTGGTAACTTCTAACGACAAAGTATTCACTTAATCAAAGATCAATGACAGGTTCAAAATCTGTAAGTAGCACTAGCCATCAGGGAAATGCAAATCAAAACTAAAATGAGATACCACCTCACATCAAAAATGACAGCAATAATCAAAAAGATAGATAGTAACAAGTGTCAGCAAAGAAGGAGAGAAACTGGAACCTTCACACACTGCTGGTAGGAATGTAAAATGGTGCAGACACTTTGGAAAACAGTCTGGCAGCTCCTCAAAAAGTTAAACACTGGTTTACCATATGACCCGAAATTTCACTCTTAAGTATATACCCAAAAGAAGCGAAAATATATGCCCACACAAAAACTTGTATGAAAATGTTCACAGCGGCATTAATCCTAATAGTCAAAAAGAAGAAACAATATAAATGTCTGTCAACTGAGAAATGGATAAATAAGATGTGGTACATCCATATAGTGGAGGATTATTTGGCAATAAAAAGGGAATGAGGCATGATACATGTTATCACATGGATGAATCCTGTATGCATTATGCTAAGTGAAAGAAGCCAGTCACAAAGGATCATATATTGCATGATTCTATTTATACAAAATATCCAGAGAAAAGGCGAATTTATAGGACAGAAAGTGACTGATGGTGTGTAGGACTGAAAGGTTAAGGAGTCACACCGCTAATGGGGTTTCATTTTGGAGTGATGAAAAGTGTTCTAAAATTGATTGTGGTAAAGGCTGCGTAACTCTGACTATACTAAAAATCACTGGATTATATGCTTTCAATGAGTGAATCATACAGTATGTGAATTTATCTCAATGAAAGTGTTATATTCAAACTATCTCTAAGTAAGAAAGGATAACTATACCGTGAACACAGAACATTTTCTTACATGAAGGTCTGGTGCTAACTGAATATAAATCTGGATCCACACAATTTAGAAGATACAGGTTCCTGCATAATTCAACTCTTACATGTCAAAAGGTTAGTTAATAATGGAGCATGGTAAGAGCTCCAAAGAAAGATTTAAGGACTAGGACATTTGCAGAACGTACTACTGATGGTATTAAATGTCTCATAAAATACCGTCTGTACCTGCACAGTCCAAATCAGTAGCCACCAGCCATATGTGATTAATTTAATTAATTAAAAGTAATTAAAATGAAAAGTTGACTTTCTCAGTCTCACTAGCCACCTCCAAGTGCTCAATAACTACATGTGGATGGTGGCTACCATACTGGACATTATAGATACAGAATATTTCTATCATCATAGGAAGTACTATTGGATGGTGCTGGATACAATGTATCTTCTGAACCAACGAATCTATTGTATACTCTAGAGCTCTAAAATTCTGTCTTTACATAGTGATGTTAAGATGTACATCACATCAGACAATCTGTGTTTCCAAACTTAAAACTGACCATCCAGAAGAAAATAAATATTAAAAACTCCTTTAAATGTTTGCTCTGGACAAGGTACATACATTTATAAATATGAAGTATTCCAGAAATTTTTTTCCTGAAATTCTACATATTCTTCTGCAATACTATTATCCAAATGAAAGAAACGCATTCCATCAGAACAAGAGCAAGCATAGAGCTTTGGATTCTATGAACTACCCAAATAAGAGTCTATAGGCTTTGACTGAGTCATTTGAGCCATTTTTGATCTCAGTGTTCCCAAAGGTAAAATAGTAATTTATTTAGAAAAACCTTAAATAAAATAGGATCTAACATCACAAAATGCTAGAACTGAAAATTAGCCAGCTACATATCTCTTAGTCCTACAATGGCTCTAACCAAATGGGCTTAATATTAAATGACTTCCACTTGGGATCTTTGGTATATATCTGAGATAAAGAAAAGATGCACAGATGACCTTGAACAATGGGGATAAGGGACAACAACCCCCATGCTGTTGAAAATTCATGTGTAACTCTTGACTCCCCTAAAACTAAATTACCATTGTTGACTAAAAGCCTTACTGATAATATAACCAATTAATACATATTTTGTATATTATGTGTATTATATACTGTATTCTTATAATAAAGAAAAAAGAAAATATTAAGAAAATCATAAGGAACAGGAAATACATTTATAGTATATACTGTATTTATAGAAAGAATTCCGTGTGTAAGTGAGACCCACACAGTTTAAACCATGTTGTTCAAGGATCAACTGTACTTTGACAAAAAATGGGACACACAAACTTCCTAAAGTATAAATCTACAAATAGTTTATGGGGTCAAGTCCTGATGGAGATCTCCTCTTCCAACCTAGACTTTCTAAAACCAAGGTCAGGGTCCTAAGCAAAGGAAATAAAATCCATTTCAAATACTTGAATTTGTGGTTCCTGATCAGATAGATGCTGAATGTGCTAGAAAAGCTTTCACTTGCTGGGGACAGGCAATGGGAAGAAAAGAAGAATCCTTTTTAAATGTAGATTACTGTCCCAAATCAAGGGTTAAAACAAGGCATTTTTATATAAAGGCTCAGAATCCATGTGGAAAAATTATTACTCTAATTCAAGGTTCCTCAACTGTGGTGATACTGACATTTCTAGATACTTCTTTATTGAGGTAGGTTGTCCTGTACACTGTAGGGAGTTAAGCAGCATCCCTGGCCTCTACTCACTAGATGCCAGTAGCAAAGCACCCTCAACTCCTTAAATGTGACAACCAAAAACGTCTCCAGACAATCCCAAATGTCCTCAAGGGGGGCAAAATTGCCCCTATTTGAGAACCACTGGTCTAACCTTTACTTTTACTAGCTAATCTTTCTTCCTTCTTTCTTCTTTTCAAAAAAAGTCACCAAATATTGCATGGGACACACTTATACTTTTATTTATTTTTATTTTTTTAAAGTCCCCTCATTTATTTGAAGGGGCAGAGGGACAGAGAGAGAATCCCAAGCAGGGTCCGCACAGTCAGCGGAGCCCAACGCGGGGCTCAACCCCACGAAGATCATGACCCAAGCCAAACTCGAGAGTTGGACACTTAACCAACTGAAACACCCAGGCACCTCTGGGACACACTTATATTAAAATAATTATTCACTGTTTACCTAAATTCACCTGGGCATCCTGTATTTCTATTTGCTAAATCTGGCAATGCTATGGGCAACAGAAATCAAAGATCTAGAATGTCATGGTCCCATGCTAGATAGGTCTCTGCCTACTTCCACTGTGCTCATCAAAACAAGTCAAAGGTTTGTGCTCGCTTCGGCAGCACATACACTAAACTTGGAACAACACAGAGAAGATGAGCACGGCCCCTGCGCCAAGGGTGATGCGCAGATTCGTGAAGCTTCCATATTAAAACAAAAAAACAAAAAAAACAACTCAAAGGTTCAAAAAAAGATATACCAGAAGCTCTTTGATAGCCCATTTTGTTTGAACCCCAGGGATATCATAAGGCCTTACTGATCACAAACTATGCTATAGTTCTTTGTGGGACTTACCATTGGGGTCCTTCCTGAATAGAGTGTTCATGACTGTAGCATGGAGTTTCACACTATTCCACTCTTTCACTATTAGTCCAGACGCCTGAAAACGTTCCAGCACTCGATCGACTAATTCTTGCAGCCTGGAGCAATTGAAGACAGAAGTATAAAAATCTTAGTAAAGTCCTAAATCCCTGATTACTGATTGAATGTTTACAGAGTATCTGCTCTGGGCCAATCACTGTACAAGACCGTGTGTAAGAGGAGGGAGAGAAAAGGCACGTGGTGCTCACAGCCTTATGGAGCAGATGGAGATGGAAACCAATAACTACAATATATCATGGTGAGCGTTAAGGGAGGGATCAACCGTACATGGAGAGGGCCAGGTTTTCACAGGAGGTTTAAACATGACCTTGAAGCTTAGCATCTTGGGACAGGGCTCAAGAAGCCAGGCTCAACGGAGACATGCCTAAAAGGAAGCGCCTTATTGCTTCATCCTGTCACAGAACCTAAAGCTACCAGGTGGGCAATATGTTTCTGCCAGGATCAAAGGAGGTCTGGCACAACTCTTAAGACATTTGCTCACTGGGAAAGAGCACGCACTGTGAAGATCCCCGTAGCCTTGGACACTATCTCAGTGTTTCACTGAGGCTGAAGCATAGTACCCATAAAGACAACTATAGGAAAATCCATCAGCTGCGTGACCATTCCTCATGTGGACTCCAGGTAGCTCTAAGCAGTAAGGGTTCTGCAGTGGTTGTGTTCTATCTCAGCAACGGCCACTCACTCTAGCACCTCCACCAGAAACAATGCTTGCACAGAAGTTTTCATTCTATGCAGGTGTTTTGCTCAACAGCTTGAAGAACTTCCTTTAACACTTCTTGTAAGGCTATTCTAGTGGTGATGAACTCTTCGGCTTTTGTCCGTCTGGAAAACTCTCTTCTCTCTCCTTCAGTTCTGAAGAACAGCTTTGCTGGTTGTGCCGACAAGAGGGGTCAGCGTCCCAGCAAGTGTGTGGTGAGCAGGCCTCAGGAAGCAGCCATCTTCTGTGACCACCCACTCATCTGATGGTAAAATGCAGCCTGTGGTTTCTACATCATGTACCAAAATGTCCACTCTGAGACTGAGGCAGCTGTCACTGGATATGTGCCGAGTCCATATCAAATGACAGAGCAGTGCACCTGGTAGCAAGTGCAGGGAGCAGCCTGCACCTTCAACCCTTCCTTAGCCACCTCTGAGATTAGTGCTGATCCTGACATCCCTGGCCCAAAATAATCTCCCATTAGTCACTAGCGTACTAATGAACAATAGACTTCACATTTTTTGTACTTCACATTTTTAGATGTGCTGGTAAGAGTCTTTTGGGTCAAACATCACCTCTTTTCCTGGATACAAGTAGCCCTGAGAAACTTAGAGAGTTTGGGAATCTTCCATTGCTTCTTGGGCCATGGCCCAAGTGTAATGGCCCACAGTGTAAGCACTGTGGCCAGTGAGCAGAGCTAGACAGGTTTGCTTTATGTGAGATATGGGCCAAACTCACCTGTGTGGCCCATTTTGTGGCCCATCTTGCCTCAGGCAGAATACTCTGGCTACAGCAACTCAGTTGCTTGAGGTCTGTCTCCAAGTGGACAGCAGCCTCTAGTACCCCTACCCTCCAGTGACCTTTCACTCGTTTAGACGTGGGCAAAACAACTCTTTTTGCTTGCACTGCATACACTGCAGCAAGAGGAAGCTACGTCCCCCAGAAACTGACTCGGGAACACAAACAATTATGTTCCCTTTCATGGTTTGCAGGTTCCAAAGTTCCAAATGAATCTTCTTAAAATTCTAAGTTCTTTATCTTGTGTTTTTTTTTAATGAAATACTATCCATGAACCAAAAAATATTTGTAAATGAGTAAGCCATAGTTAACATTATTATTTATAATAATAATAATAATAAAAAATTATAATCATAAATACTCATGTCCCCTCCACCAAACTTCAGAACTAGAACACAGGGCTGGCACTAGGGTGAAGCAAGTGAGGAAATTACTTTGGGCACAAAATTTAAGAGGGTGCCAAAAAATGCAGTAACCTAAATAAATCATACAGTTTATTTTTTTATTAATTTATTATTTTAAAGTTTATTTTGAGAGAGACAGCGAGCACACGTGTGCAAGAGTGGGGGAGGTGCAGAGAGAGAAGGAGAAAGAGAGAATCCCAAGCAGGCTCCACGCTGTCAGCGCAGAGCCCAATGTGGGACTCGAACTCAAGAACCACGAGGTGATGACCTGAACAGAAATCAAGAGTTGGACACCTAACTGACCAAGCCACCCAGGCGCACCCATGTGGTTTTTTTTTTTTTTTAAAGATTTTATTTTATTTTGGAGAGAGAGTGTGAACATGTGAGTGGGGGAGGGGCAGAGAGAGAGAGGGAGAGAGAGAATCCCAAGCAGGCTCCACGCCCCAGCGCAAAGCCCAACATGAGGCTTAATCTCATGACTGTGAGACCATTACCTGAGCTGAAATCAAGAGTTGGATGCTTAACCTACTGAGTAACACAGGTGCCCCAATAAATCATGTTTTAATGCAGTATTTTTAAAAATCAAAATTAATGAAAAAAAAATCCATGACAAACAGAGTCTCAAAATTTTGAATGAAGTTGGGGCCAGTACCGCCGAGTCCGCCCTTTGTGTCAGGATCCAGTGTGGCTGGCATGGGGTAGAACGTTACACAACACACGGGTCGCTCAGGATGCTCCAGGCTCTGGAGACCCTAGGGACCCCCTGCTGCCCCATGACCTCAGCACTCCTCAACATGCGCATTTTCTTACCAGGCTTCCTCCACTGAGCGGCTTGACAACTGCGACCTCTGTGCCTTCTGTTCCCTGGGCTAGTTTCCACCTATGCAGATCCTTCCAGGCCCAACTCAAATCCCACTCTTCCATGAAGCCTTTCTAGCCACCCTAACACCCCCACTCCCCTGTATCTGTGAGCAATGACTCTGCCCTTCTCTGAAATGCTGCTTCACTTATGTGTGCTTTCCTTAGCATTCTCAGTGACAGTCCCTTGCTATTTCAAGTCTGTCTGTCCTGTTCCTCTACTAGATTATATGCTTAAGAGCATGTTGTATTTGTTTTGTATCTTCCAGTGCACCATTATACTTGGCTTTCAGTAACTATTGGCTGTGACTGGGTAACTGATGGATGTGACTGATTAAAAACTGAGAAGTGAATGTAAAAAATAAAATAAATGAGGTCTTGAAGTATCGCTGAAGATTTGCAGATAAAACCAGTGAAGGAAGGACACTTCAAGCAGAAGAAACAGCATGTGCAAAGATGCCAAGGCATGCACGATCACATCTTATTTGGAAAACTGATTACTGAATATAGCTATAGCAGAGAATGAGGGAAAAAGAACAGTGGAGATGAGCTTGATATAAGTAGTGGTTGGACCATCAGAAGCCACAGAGATTTAAAAAAGAGAACGATGTGGTCAGATGTCCATTTCTGAAAGCTGACTCTAGCAGAGTAGAAAACACTTTAGAAGGAGAAGAGACCAGAGGTACAGAAGTCAACTAGAGTGGTAGTATCAAGCACTATTCTAAGCGCTTGAGATCTGTTAACACGTTTAATCCTCACAATGAATTATTATCCCCATTTTACCAATGAGGAAACTGAGGCACAGACAAGTTATAAAACTTGACCAAAATCATATTAACTAATTGGTGGCAGACCCCAAATCAGAATCCATGCCGTGTGGCTTCCGAGTACGTGCCTTAAGGACTGCGCTATAAAGGGGGAAAGGATGAAAACAACTTTGTCCCCACATTCCTAAAGGGAAAATAAAAATCTATTCACACTGCACAGAACTCTAATTTTACAGTTAGCTGATTCAATTAATTGTGCATGTGGATCTCCAAGCAAAGACCTACATTATTTTGGGTCTAAAGTTTCTGATTAACTAACACCATGACAGAACAATAAGGTTTTGAAATACTTCTGAATGCTACAACATAACAAGTCTGAATATAACCAAGGACTTCAAAATCTACCTCAATTACAAATCACAGCAGAATGATGCCCTTCTTTTCTCTCCCCTCTATTAAAGAAAAAGAATAGGGAGTTCAACTAGACAGAAACAGGGAGCAAGAAATATTAGAGGAAGGAAATTAAATAGACTAAATGAAAGAAACCAATTTCCAGCTCTGTCTTTCTGGAAAATTAAGATTTCTGTCCAATTCAAGACTTATTAGGACTTTGAAGGAACTGAAGTCCTTTAAAAAGTTCTAGTCTAACCTCTCATTTTATGCAAGAGGAGTAAAGCACAGACAGGACAGAGACCAGAATCCAAGTCGGTTCTGCTGTTATCAATTCACTGTGCATTCCACAAAGGCTGGCTCTTTATCTTATCCCCTGTTTCACCCTGGCACCTAAATTAATGCCTAATTGACACATAATCAGTTCTCAGTCAAGAGCTGTTGCATGCACACACGATTCACAGATGACAAATATTCTTCAGTTCTATTAAAAGAATTTAAGGGTACTTGGGTACAGTCACTAAATTTCAGGTTGATGTCATACATACCGCGTTGGACAATATGTCCATATATTTCTAAAAGTATAGCCTCCTGATTCTTTCTTCATTGATCCTTTCCTGGTTGACTATGAATGAGTCACAGAGCTGCTCTATGCCTTTCTTCCTCATAACAGAATTAAAAATAATATAGGGTTGCTATGTAAAAATGATGTATTATTCTTAAGCAGCTTTATCATTTAGACAGTGCTTTGAATTTGAAAACAGAAGCCAGTTATTAATGCCTTAAATCTAAGCTCTTAGTTTAAAAGGCCTGTAAGCGCTCCAGAGCTCAAGCATTCCAGAGGCATCTTTACAGATATGTATTTGTATTGCAGGAAGATCACTGACTTCCTAGAAAGTACAAATTCCAGGCTTTTGTTTGGGATTTTTTTTCCAGTTTAATTCAGTCCCATACAGTTAGTATTTCCTGAGAGATTACTGCATACAGGCATTATGCTGGTCTCTACGAAAAAGAAGAACCACACGAGGGGCGCCTGGGTGGCTCAGGTGGTTAAACATCCAACTCTATATGTCAGCTCAGGTCATGATCTCATGGTTAATGAGTCTGGGCCCTGTGTGGGGCTC